TTTTTTCTCAGAGAAATAACAAAGTGACCCGGAGGGGGCGTAACATTCTTTGGTTCCATTAGGTAAACTGAGTCACTAACTACACTTCGATGTCCTCGCTGTTTATTTCATTGAGTGGTAACAGGAAACTAATTTTACTTAGAGTCTTTTTTTTTATTATTTTCTCTAAGATGATTTTTGTTAAGTGGCTGCGCAGTTGGATGAATCTATTATTTCTTTGTTCTCCCAAAGAGAGATCATTGGAGCTGCATTCAGTTTTATTTTCTCTGCACTTTCCAACTTAATACATCTCTCCTTTGTTTCTTTGTCTGTGTGATTATACAGACTTTTTATTTCATCAATCGTTGTTCATTTAAAGAAAGGGAGTTATCATATACGATCAACTGTTTCTTTTATTTCGTTGTCTTGTTCCGCTGTGGGGGTCGGGGGTTACACATATGGGGGTATCGTTGGCAGCGGGTCACTTGAGTGACACGGAAGATAGAGTCTGAGGAAGAAGAAAGAATTCCGTGCACCCAGCGGGCCCTGTGGCTCCAGGGCGCCTGCGGGGACCCAGGCTGGGTTCCCCAAGGCTGCCAGGCTTTAGGGCAAGAGAAAAGATTTTTGCAAAACGTGAAAAGTCATCCCTTCTCTGAGCCTACAACCTGGACACGTTTACATGAATACCACCTATGGTGGGGACTGTGACTGCCACCAGGGTCTCTGTTATAACCTCATTGAACACTCTTCTGTCGTTAAAGCTGTCGTTACTGCCATTGCCCTTCTCTTTCCTGCTCACACCCAAGTCATCCCATTCCATTCCCTTGGAGACCCACCTTTTTGAGGCAAAGTTAGAGAGTATTTTCTTTGGCTAGGTTTCTGAAGTTGGGCTAGAGAAAAGACACATGGAACCCCTGCCTGTCTCCTGCCTCCTCCCCTGACCCCAGGGTCAGTGTGTGTAGACAAGGACAAATAGACTTCCCAAGGCCCTGCGTTACCTGCCGAACGCCGGGCTGATGAAGGCCGGGTGCCGGAACACGGCAGCTCCCAGGAAAGTGCTCAGGCCCAGCGGCGCCCCGCTGGGCGGCAGGCTGGCCGAGCCGGGGGGCGGAGGTAGGCTCGGGAAGGCGGCGGCGGCGGCGGCGGCGGCGGCTGTCCATGCGGAGTCGAGCGCAGGGTGGTGTGGGGGGAACGGGGTGGCGTCCAAGTAGGGGCTGAGCGGATGGGTGGCCGAGAGCGGCCCGGGGAATGGCAGCCCCGGGGGGTGGGTCTGCGCGCCTGCCTTCTCCCGCTTGCGCCACTTGGCCCGGCGGTTCTGGAACCAGACCTACAAGGCGGAGAGAGCCCGGGGTTGGTCTGCACGGCCTTGGCCCGGCCCGGCCTCTCCCTGGCAGCTGCGGCCCCTCCTTCCTTCCCGCGCGCGTCCGCGCCCGCCTTGCCCCTCTTTGGCCTCGAGTTGTTCTCCGACAAATCTGGGGCCAAAAGAGTAGTGGAAAGGGACCCAAACTTAAAGCCAGTTAAGCCAGCTTGAACCCCAGACAGGCAAACCATCACAGTGGGCGTTCCAACTACCCGGTTACTTTCCAAGTTTAAGGACTGTGGTTCTGTAGGGGTAGGCACCAGGAAAGCAAGGCTTAAATGTCGGCACTGCCTCTTGCTTGCTTGTGGGCCTTTCCTCGAGTCACTTAACCCTGTCTGAACCTCAGTTTTCTCATCTGTAAAATGGAGATAATAACACTTCACTCATAAGGAATAAGTGAGATAAGGCCCTCTCTGGAATGGGCAGCCACCAAGAGGTGAGTGACACTCTTGCTGCATATCAGCTATTTCCACCAGTTTCAGGTTTACCCAAGAACTGGCAAAATCCCTGCACCTATGGTAAAAAAGGAAGCAGGGAGGTAGTTCATTTCTTCTCCCCAGAATTGTTTCTTGAACACCTCCCAGCATTATGCTGGGCTCTGGGGTTCTGGGCTTTGGGTTTGGGATGGGAGAGAGGGCAGAAATGCTCATAGTAATTAGCGACCAAGCATACGTTTTAGAGGGTCAGTTCTCTATTAAATGAAAAATGGGCTCCACAGCCTGCTGTGTGCAAGGACTCTGTGCAGGGCCTGCTTTACGCAGAAGGCACTGACCGCGTGGATGAGGCACGTAGCAACACCTCGACACATGGAAACCAGAGTACGGAGACTTTGCAAACCTTCGGAGCTAACAGGTTCTTGATTCTCTTTTGGGGGTGCAGATTGAATAGGTTCGTTAAATAAGACTTTTCTCGGCTTGGGGGAGGTTTTTAGCACAAGGTATCTTCCTAATTTTTAATAGAAAGCTATGTTGCTAGAGACCTTTGCCTGAAACATGGCAACTACCATCCTCTAAAAATAACCCCCAGGAGCCTGAAATGATTCTTATGTGACCTGCTCATCACACCCACATCTGAAAATATATGCTCCTTCTCCCTCTGAAGGCATTAATATTTTTAGGCCTGGGTTTATACCTGCATACAAGTCTAAAAATTAAGAATGAACTCCAGGGCGATACAGAGTGAGATTAAAATATGATGTAAATGAGCTTGGAGGATTTTTTTAAAAAAAAAAATTTTAAAAGACACCCTTGTCTTCAAAATGCACAAAGGGGAGAGGTTGTCCTGGCCAGCAGTAGCATCTGAGCTTGGTTCGACTTTGTAAACAGCAAGAAAACTTGAGAGTCCAGATCAATTGTTTGCGAAAATTTCTGCTGAAAGGGGGCCCGTGTGTAACACTGCAGAGCCAGTTGGGAAAGGCAGCGGGACGCCAGCGTGGAAATTCAGAGGCTTGAAAAAGTAAGACTATACGTGGGACCAGGCTGGGTGGGCAGCTTTTGTGTGTCTAAATCAGTCTAGACGAGAATATCCACCACTCCTGGATGGCAGTCAAAGGAGGAATAAAGTGGAAACCAGGGCAGTGGAGGCAGAATGCCCTTCAAGAACATGAAAACCTTTTACAGAGGGTTCATCTCTCCCGGGTCAACTGCAATTATCAAGATGTCCCCCTGCAATTCCTCATTATTGAATTAATACCTCCAAGCCCCCCCAAAGGTAAACGAAAGGACTCTAATAATTCATATTCCCTTAATTACATCTTCTCCAGTGAATAGGGGGAGAGGAGAAGGGGAGGGGGTGCTCGCTTTCTTTTTAAAAGTTATTTAACTTTCCCACGACTTGTTCCCCTGAGCTGAAAATGCGGAGTTGCTGTCACATCTCTGTTTGACAATGGAGAAATGTGTCAACAGAAAGGAGGGGCAGGCCTCATCATTTAGCCCTCTAATGCAAGAAGCTGTTGTGTATTAAATGAGCCATATGGAATTTATTGTGCTTTATCAGCGCTTGATTTTGACTGTAAAGTGATTCACTCAGCTCCGAACCCGAGGACATCTGTTTTCTGTTGGCCATCAGGGCCGCCCAGTGTTGATCGTCTCTTTGGTTATGAGGCCTGGGTCTGGAAATGCACTCTGGTATGGGGTTGCAAACACCTTTAATAGCATTGCACTCACTCCCTATTAGATCAATGTGGGCTCATTGCTATAAAAAATGGGAAATCAAATAGCATTAGCCAGCTCCTTGTGCGGGCGGAGGGGAAATCAAACAGCATTTTGCCTTCAAATGGCCCTGTTTGTTCTAGCACTAAGTGGGCTTTTATGAAGCCCGATTGGAGACTTAATCGCAGCCAAATACCTGCTTGGAGCTGAGCGGATTTGTCTAACAACCAAATCCATGCTCCATCCCATTACTGCAATCCGGAGAAGTCCGTCTGTGGATTGTTTCCTATAGGGACTGGGGAGGGGGAGCGCCAGGGCTCCTGAACTGCAGTCTTGGGAACCCTAAAATCCCTGTTCTGCTCTGGCCCTTCCCCCCCCCCCCGCCCGCCCGCCTGGCCTGCCTTCCTCCTCACCTCTCCTTGCTCAGGCCCCCACATCCCGAAAACATCCCCTCCCACCTCCCCAAGCAGCCGACCCGGGCTGTCCCCAGCATCCATGTTTTCATATTTGGTGGGTGATATTTTTCTGAGCGTTTTTCTCTTCGTTGGATGAAGCCCGTCAACCCTAGGCATCCCCCACGCACACCAGCTCCATCCCTCTCTCCTTCTCTCCCCTAGACCCTCCTTCCCTCCCTTCCTTCCCTCTTTGCTGGGGAGCTCACCTGCACTCGGGCCTCAGTCAAGTCCAGCCTCATGGCCAGTTCCTCCCTAAAAGAAAGCAACACAGAGACAGGAGGTCACTGCAGGCCCAGCAAGCCCTCACTGCCACCTTGCCCTCAGTGGCAGGCCTCCTCCATTAGGGTCGCCCCTGGCTGCCTGACCCGACCCCAAACGTGGGCATCATCACCCCTTCACCACTGGAGTGTCTACTATTTGATGAGACCATAAGAACACACAACACATCTCCAGGTACAGGATACTGTGTTAATTACATTCTATTCAAGTGTGACAAGGGTGGCTTGTTGAGTCTCTAAGTCTACAAAACTGGACACTGAGATTCTCCCTCTCTCCTAAGCTGGAGTCAGATCAGAAACACACACACACACACACACACACACAGCTTATACCCTGTTTTGTCCTAATATTACTTGGGGGAAGAGATTAGCACTCAATTTTAAAATATTTCACCCTCTGGGCTTCTTTCTTCTTTTTAAAATATCTCCCTCCCCCCTTTCTGTCTCTCTCTTTCTAGCTCTCTGCCTGTCCTTCCATCTCTCCCCCCCACCCCCACCCTGCCTGCCTGCCTGCCTGCCTCCCTCCCTCACCCCCATAGGTCACACTCCCCATTACCCTCTGGAGATATGTTAAGCTTGTTAAGAGTTCAGTGGGGTAATTTTTCGATTAAACAAAATTCTGCGCACCTCCTGACTCCAGTGCCCACTACAAACCCTGCCTATCTCAGGGGAAGTCAATTTAGCTGAAACCCTACCCCGTCATTGCAGTTATTACTGCGACAATTAAGGCAAATAGGAAACCATTAAGATGCTGTAAAAACGGCTTACGACCTGTTTACCGAAAATATGAGCGCGCCGAGAATAATTGGCTCTCCCCTCGCTGATATGAAAGAGCGGGGGCCGCCCAAGCCTGGGACCCGGGTCTGCGGTGCTGGCAGGGCCCCGGCCACACCTGAAACTTCAGACCCAGGAAACCCGTTCACTTTGCGCTTTCTGTTGTCCCCTGCGCCAGGGAGCACCGGCTCATCTGGATGGCCCTGCTAGCTGGCCCAGGACCCAAGCCAAGGGCCCGGACCCCCAGGTCCGAATGAGGTGGGGATGAGACGGAAAGGGGGGGGGCTGCTCGCCCTTATTTTGCTTCCCCAGAAGAAGCTACCGAGGGCGAATGTAGGTGCCCACTGACACCAGCTCATTTTCCTCTTTTGGATATACATTTGCGATGAAGGCACAAAGCCTATCTGCCAAACAACTATTTGATAGCACACACCTATTTTAAACTTCATTTCCTTTTTAAAAAGGATAAAGAAGGGGCTGGGTGACACAAGGGTGTACCAAGTTTCAGGCCCTCGCCTGTATTTAATCCACTCTTTTCTGCTTCTGGTTAGGAGAGAATCTGGCAATTGCAAGACGAGCTACACTTTGGAGTTGGCTCGGGCTTCCTGTGCCCTAGGCAGAAATTTCTCCCGCGGTTCAAAGGGGCGGGCAGCTTTCCGTTTCTAAAAGGCACATTGAAAAGCTGCACACGTCTCGTCTCGTGCGAAAGAGCTGCCCGGACTTGACAAGCTCTGCGCCCAGCAGACACCGGGTCCCTTTCTCCCTCCCCGCTGGGGCACGCTGGCTGTAACTCTGGCTCCCCGCCTGAGCCGAGCCTTGGCCTTAGGGTGGGAGAGGAAGCCCCAGGGCGCCCCATATCGACTGGGTAAGCCGCAGCCCAGGGTCCCAATCATCTCTCTCCCAGAATTACTGGGGCGAGCGGGAAGTGGAGCGTGATTAGGCCCGAATCACGGACTGGGACATCAATCTGCAGAGAAAAATTTCCCCAGCTGCTTCACGCACTGCCGCCAGCCTGGCAGCAGTCATCGTACACCCGTCAACCTGTAAACCCGTCAACCTGTAAACCCGTTTACATTGAATGTAGTCCGGTTTTAGTGTGTGTGTGTGTGGAGGGGGGAGCAGGACGGAGGCAAATGGGGGAAGATTCTGGCTGATGTCCCTCACGTATCCCGATACCAAACACTGCCCAGCTCCGACTTCCTCTCGGTACTCCAGGAGTCCTCAAAAGACAGGACTCGGGTCTTTTTAAAGGCCTCCTCCGCAGGCACCGCTTCCAGCTTCACTGTGAAAAGGGTAACTGATACCCGACAGGCTCCTGGGGCGCCAGGCGGGGGTGGCGAGTGCACAGGGCGGCGGCCAAAAATAGCCGGTTTTGCTCTGGCTGCCACTGCAGGCAGAGTCGCCTGGGCAGGAGACCTGCCTGGCTCCACCGCCGGGGCCGTGCGTGTGTGTGTGCGCGCGGGAGTGCGCACCTCTCCAAGGTGGCGCTTTCGGGCGCTCTTTGGAGAAGCCGTTGCCTGTTCTCTAACTAAAACTAGCTCAGACGACAAGTTTGAGAAAAAAATGAAACTGGAGAGGGCCTGGCAAAGAAAGGAACCAGCCTGGCCTGAACGTAAAACCCGGGGTGGCGCCAGGGATGGGGGACTGGGTGGTCTGGATGAGCAAGGGTAGGTGTATTGCGGGGAGAGTCCTGGCCAAGACCAGGAGCGAAATCTCTAGGTCC